GGAATCATCTAAACTGAGCCCAGCCAGCTAATTCCAAATATACACTTTTTCACCATAAAAAAAAAATTATATATTGGGGTGTTTTCTGTCTATATATCTTACTTACTGCATAGGATACTACTGAAAAATATATAATAATTTTCTTTATCTCTCATTGTAATATATGATTTTCCCCAATATATAAAAGTTATATAAACATTTTTTTATTAAGAAAAGAAGAAAAAAAACATAAACAAAAAAAAGTTTCCACCTCCTCCCAGCCTCCCATTTCCCTCCCCCTCCTCCCACCCTTCTCCCCCTCCTCCCACCCTTCTCCCCCTCCCCCCACTCCTCTCCCCCTCCCTCTCCAGTCCACAGAGCAGTCCAGGTTCCCTGCCCTGTGGTAAGTCCTAGGTCCTCCCCCCTCCGTCCATATCTAGGAAGGTGAACATCCAAACTGGCTAGGCTTCCACAAAGCCAGCACATTAAGTAGGATCAAAACCCCGTGCCATTGTCCTTGGCATCTCATCAGCCCTCATTGTTCGCCATGTTCATAGGGTCCAGTTTTATCCCATGCTTTTTCAGTCCCAGTCCAGCTGGCCTTGGTGAGCTCCCAGTAGATCAGCTCCACTGTCTCAGTGGGTGGGTGCACGCCTCGTGGTCCCGACTTCTTTGCTCATGTTCTCCCTCCTTCTGCTCCTCATTGGGACCTTGGGAGTTCAGTCCAGTGCTCATGTGTGGGTCTCTGTCTCTATCTCTATCCATCACCAGCTGAAGGTTCTATGATGATATGCAAGATATTCATCAGTATTGCTCTAGGATAGGGTCATTTCAGGTTCCCAATCCTCAGCTGCCCAAGGAACTAACTGGGAACCTCATCTTGGGCACTTGGGAGCCCCTCTAGGGTCAAATCTCTTGCCCACCCTAAAGTGGCTCCCTTAACTAAGAATTGTGGTTCCGTGCTCCCCTATCCACCTTTCCTTTATCCCAATTCTCCTGATTCCCCAAGTCCCCCCTCCTTCCCTTCTACCTTTTCTCTCCCCATCTCCCCTTACCCCCATCCCACCCCACCCCCAAGATCCTAATTTTCTCCCCGGCAATTTGGTCTACTTCCCTTAGCCAAGAGGATAACTATATGTATTTCCTTGGGTTCACCTTCTTACTTAGCTTCTTTAGGTTCACCTATTGTAGACTCCGTGGCCCTTATTTATGGCGAGAAACCAATTATGAGCGAGTACATCCCATGTTCATCTTTTTGGGTCTGGGACACCTCACTCAGGATAGTGTTTTCTATTTCCATCCATTTGCATGCAAAATTCGAGAAGTCATTGTTTTTTACCGCAGCGTAGTACTCTAGCGTGTATATATTCCATACTTTCTTCATCCATTCTTCCATTGAAGGGCATCTAGGTTGTTTCCAGGTTCTGGCTATTACAAATAATACTGCTATGAACATAGTTGAACAAATGCTTTTGTCATATGAAATAGCATCTCTTGGGTATATTCCCAGGAGTGGTATTGCTGGGTCCAGGGGTAAGTTGATCCCGAATTTCCTGAGAAACCGAAACACTGACTTCCACAGTGGTTGCACAAGATTGCATTCCCACCAGCAATGGATGAGGGTACCCGTTCCTCCACAGCCTCTCCAGCAAAGGTTATCCTTGGTGTTTTTGACTTTAGCCATTCTGACAGGTGTAAGATGATATCTCAAAGTTGTTTTGATTTGCATTTCCCTGATTGCTAAGGAAGTTGAGCACGACTTTAAGTGTCTTTTGGCCATTTGAACTTCCTCTGCTGAGAATTCTCTGTTCAGTTCAGTGCCCCATTTTTTAATTGGGTTAATTAGCATTTTAAAGTCTAGTTTCTTGAGTTCTCTATATATTTTGGAGATCAGACCTTTGTCTGTTGTGGGGTTGGTGAAGATCTTCTCCCAGTCAGTAGGTTGCCTTTGTGTCTTAGTGACTATGTCCTTTGCTTTACAGAAGCTTCTCAGTTTAAGTAGGTCCCATTTATTCAATGTTGCCCTTAATGTCTGTGCTTCTGGGGTTATACATAGGAAGCGATCTCCTGTGCCCATCTCCTGTAGGGTACTTCCCACTTTCTCTTCTATCAGGTTCAGTGTGTTCGGGCTGATATTGAGGTCTTTAATCCATTTGGACTTGAGTTTTGTGCACGGTGATAGATAAGGGTCTACTGCTTTGGATAAGCATGAACACTTTCTGTCAGATTGTTAGTATTAAATTGTTTAACATTCGTGAGAAAATTCTTTCCCATTCCCACACTCATGAAAATGTTATGTAAAAGCCCTAAGTATTATTTCCAATCTAAAATACCTTCATCTCTCCAGAAAGTTTTTTTAAAGAAAAAAAAAAATGGGGATTCTTTTCATGTTTTCTTAACTCCCTGGTACATTTTCATATTTTTTCATATATGCTTTGGCTACTTTTAAAGCTATCTATTTCCAATTTTATACCATTACCCTTTGTAATCACACAGCATTTCATTTTACATATTATTAATATAATTATAACTGATGATAAGGATCCAACTTACTGAGAGGTTTCAGGCTTAAGGTTCAAGGGGGACACTGAAGCAGAATGTTCTTTTGAGTAAGAGTTGTATGAAAAGAGTTCTTGTAGTAACATCATAACCAGACACAAAAGTATGGCAAGGGCACTGAGGAGAGTTTGCAGAGTTCACTGTGGCAGAGTTGGAGGGTCTCTTCTTACAGACTTGAGAGGAAAGTGGTTGATGAATAGCCCATAGTACATGCTTATAGTTGAGCGATCTTTGAATCTACTGTGAAGATTGGGAGGGCATTATTCTAGGAAAATATGTTATTCAGTTCTGGGGACCAACTTACTATAGTTTTGATCATTGTCACAGTTCAACCAAAATGAAGGAGCTTTATAAACTGACATGGTCTGGTTAGGGCTGTTTTTGAGGCAGGGTTTCTCTGTGTAGCTCTGACAGTCCTGGAATTCTCTCTGTAGACCAGGCTGGCCTTGAACTCACAGAGATCTTTCTGCCTCTGGCTCCCAAGTGCTAGATTAAAGGCCTGCACCACCACAACCACCACCAATAAGGGCTTTTACACACACACACACACACACACACACACACACACACACACACACACACAGAGAGAGAGAGAGAGAGAGAGAGAGAGAGAGAGAGAGAGAGAGAGAAAGAGAGAGAACTTTTATTCTGTGACAAAACTAAAAGCTAACCCATCCTGACATTATTTATTTGTAATATATGTGATATATATATATATATATTATCTTGCTTATTTGTGCATATTTTTCAGGTGAGAGAATAGAGTTCTGTAGTTATAAAAGTATACAGTTTACCAAAATCCCTTCTGCATAAATATATCTCTTTATGATTCCTTACGTTCAATATCTTTTCTTCTTGAGATTTATTTTTCATTTTCGCAAACACAGTAGCAAAAGTTATTGTTTCTGTTTAAATATTTGCTGGTGAATCATACACTGAAATTTAATCATAGTGTGCCCTGAAAATTTGAGAGAATCTCAACTCTCTCTCTTCTCTTTCTCACCTATGTGTGTGTATGTGTTGTAAGACACAGATATGAAGTAGAAAGTGGTGAACCATGCTAGCATAATTGTTATAGGTAGTTGTCATCAGAAAAAAAATTTTTTTCTAAAATAACATGTATGCAATAGTAAATAAAAACGTATTTACATCTGTTAAAATTTCAACTGAAATAAAAAGGATGTGTCTAAAGAAATAAGGAACAAAGAGAAATTGACAACTCAATAAAAATCAGAGAAGACAAAATTAAACTTTTAAATATGCTAAAACACCAATTAACAATGAATTCTGTAAATGGAGAACATAAAGATTAGAGATCCATACAAACATGCAGAACTTCAGACAAAGTAGCATATTTATTTTCTTAATAAATGAATAGAAACCCTCTGACTCAGAGAAATAAAAAGGTTTTTGTTTTTCCATGTTTTTATTCTTTTTTCAATTGAGCTTTTGTTTCTTGAATACTTACTACTGTTTTTCATAATTCTATAATTATGCTGACTGTGCCTATTAATTCTCCATATTTGCATGCCAAAAATAAATTCAAGGTGGAATAGAAATAAACTAAAGCTCAAAAATATGTAAAAGTTAAATATATATTTTTTAATTCTTAGGAAAAAAAGACAGGTTTAAGAATAAAAAACAGGACTAGTTTTCTCCTATGAAAACAGAAAATTTGGAAGATGTATCATGATACTTGTAACATATAAAGGAAAAAGTGCATAAATTATACTAACACATTGTCAACAAGATACTATGAAGAAACAGAAGAACAAAATACTGTTATGTGCTCAGCAAGTAAGAACTAATAATCAATGATGCCAAGAGTTAGCACATTTTTGAAGAGTTAGTTTTCTCATCTAATAATGGCAGTTGTGTAAATTTAACAAATCACCTTTCAGGACAATTTAGCAGTGTCTAACCACACTTATATGTTGTCTTGTATTGATGCAGGAGAAACTTGAAGTAGTAAAAATTTATGTTATAAACGATTTATGAATAAACTAGCTCAGGAAATATTAAGTTAAACAAAAAGTAATTAGATAAAGGAATGCTACCTCCACTATGACAGAATGGTAGGTAGTGTACCTGGCCTGTTAAACACTATAAACACAGTTTTTAACCATATTGAAAGCTTGCTATGAAAGTTTGTGCTAATGTTTGACCTCTAATTATGTTTTATACCATAATAACCAGAACAACCTTGATTTACAACCAACCATTAGGTCCATCCGCATATCAAAGACTGTCAATTCAAGGTGGCAGTGCAGGGTCACAACCAACATTATTAAGTCCTCATATAAAGTCTAACATTAAATCCCCTGGACTCTTATCAGAAAAAATATAATTCTGCCAGGTGGGTGAGATGACTCTGAGTAACAACTTTTTAAAAAGAATAACACTGGTTTCCTTAAGTTTCTATCCTGTCATGCTGAGCCTGCTGAGGACTCAGCAGGAGCAAAGCCAATCCTCTCAAATTGAAGAAATTTATGGTCAAGAAGTTACCATTGAAGTTAAATGGTAGCAGACATATACATGCAATCCTATGGGGCTTTGATTCGTTTATGAGCCTTGAGATTGATGGGTGTGTGGAGATGGCAAATGGTGGTCATGTGAGGAAAGAGCATCATCATGATGGAAGCCTTGGAAAGAGTCTAAACAATGGCTGTTGAGCAGAAACATTCACATCTCTCCCCCTAGGGCTGGTTTGACTATGGCGTACAACTGGGTCATGTATATTTTCAACTGAAACTTTTTGCTAAATAAACTTTTATGATACTATAAAAGGAAATAATTCTGTCATCTTTGCTGTGTAACTCCCATCTGCCCACGTAGCCAGACTTTAAGTCTCTTGTCTCTCTTTAAATAGCTCAAAATGTAGCCTGGGGTAAGGACCCAAAGAATATTTAAGGATGACAGCATATCTGGAATGCATAAACTTGAGACCTCTACAAGCTAGTCAAGTTTTCTTTTCTAGATTGGTTCTACTTTGTTATCAACCACAACCAATCCTGCACTATTATTAAAGTGCTTTTTCTGAACAAGGATGACAACAATGTACATACCAAACTGAATAGAGAAAGGCTCACTAGGACCCAACACATAGGCAAGTCAACCTTATTGGAAAGCTGGGAACAGGAGAGGCAGTATTTCCAAAGAAGAGCACATTAATAGGTTACTCAGTACAAAAAGTCAGTCCTGAAAATATACATACAGATAGCATTACATAAACAAAACAGGTTATATTTAGAAATATATATGTGTATACATGTATGCAGAATATAACAGTGAAAAAAGAGGCCACAAATTTTAAGAAAAACGAGGTGTATATGAGAGGGTTTGGAGGGAGGGAAGGGAAAGAAGAATATTGCAATTAAATTATAATCTAAAATATTACAAAAAGAGTTTCCTTTATTAATCTCTAAATGCTGAGACTGATTTCTCACTGGGCATGCTAACTAATTCTCTAGCACTATGTACCCAAGAGAAATGAAATACCATGTGAATGCACAAAGAGGCTCTACATAGAGGTAACCCACATTTATTACATAATAATTATAAAAATTGGAAACCATTCAAATAATCATCAATAAGTCAATAATCGATTAACTTATAGCACTCAGGAGGCTAAGGAAGGAGGATTGTGAATTTGAGGCCAGATTGAGCTACATAGCGAGAATCTACTTTAAAAATAGTGGGGGCTGGGGAGTTGATTCAGTGGTTAAGAGCACTTGTTCCTCTTGAGAACATGAACTCTGTTCCTAGCAACCATATGGTGTTCTTACAATAGTCTGTAATTTCACTTTCAGGTTATCCACCACCTCCTTCTGTACTCCATGGGCATCACACACACACACACACACACACACACACACACACACACACACACACACACACATTTAAAAAAATCTAAAATTATAGTCCCATCAGTTATTTTCTTATTTATTTTAATTACTAATCATCATTTGGTTTAGTCTTGTTTGGTTTTGGCATGTTAAAACAAAGGGAAATGTTTTAAAGTAAAACAATGTTTATAATGATGTTTTTACTTTATCAAAGGGTATTAGCTTGGTGTGAACATTAATCTCAACATTCCTGAAGCAAAGGCAGATTTCTGTGTTTGAATATTGTGGTGGTATTTTGTTTCTGATCTAACAAATAAAGCTTGCCTGAAGATCAGAGTATGGAGCTAGTCACTAGTAAACTATAGTGGCCAGGCAGTGGTGGCACACACCTTTAATCCCAGAACTCAGAAGACAGAAGTAGACAGTCCTTTATAAATTCAAGGCCACCCTGGGCTAGCAACTGACTCAATCTGAAAGAAAAAGAGAGCAAGTGGTGGTGGCTCACACCTTTAATCCCAGTATTTGGGAGTCACATGTCTTTAATCCCAGCCCTAGAAAGGTAGAGACAGGAAGGGATATGTCTGGGCACAGAGAAACATATAAGGCAGGAGGAGACAGGAGCTCAACATTTAGTCTGAGGCTTCATAGAGACAGGCATTCAGTTTGAGGACTTGTAGAGACAGGCTACTCAATTTGGTCTGAGGATTTTATAGCGGTAAGAACTAGTGGCTGGTTGTTCTGCTTCATTTATCTTTCAGCTTTCAGCTTTTGATATCTGACTCTGGGTTTTTATTATTAAGACCAATTAGAATTTTTGCTACAGAGGATGGGCTGTCCACATAGTTCGTTATGAGCCAGCCAGGGCTGCACAGTGAGAGCCAACAATAGTGTGATACAGCTGACATTTTCTATGCACAGTGTTAGTTCATGAAACTGAACTAAGCTGGGACTCAGTGAGTGTAGATTTTAATGCTACTGTGATGTGTTAATCGTGGAAAGTTTGTCACTCATTCAATTATTCTTTTATCAATGAAGCAGCACAGACTAGGTGATGTCCAACATCTAATCATTTATGATCCTATGGTTCTATGACAGTTTTTAAAAACAGCACTTCTGATTTCTTGTCCAGAGCTTTCACATTTTTAAAATTCTTTCAAATACAAGCATTTTTAGTTTAGTAATTTATATCTGTATTTGGGGAAGAAATAGTCACCTTGATAAAATTGTCCTTATCAAAAAGAGTGTGAGGAATGTCTTCCTCAGAATGAAATACTGATAATGTAAGTAGCTAGTACATGAGAATAGCCTAGTTGAGAAGTCAGGTATAAATCATGTGGAAGACCTTGAAAAAGCTTTTGGGGGGATCGGAGCCTCATCATTTGCATCTGTACATTCTACTCAAGATATCTACTGTTAGATTCCTCTATTTACAGTAATAACTACCACACACTGAGTCGAAGTTCTATGACTGGCAATGTATCAAACATTTTGTGTCATATCTAATTTAATTTCCACAATCAACCTCAGCTGCCAGAGAAATCTAGGTTCTTGTGCGGCTCCCTCACTACAAAAAGAATACCGAACTATGGTGGATAGGTCTCTTAGGAATGATGGCAGATGTTATCAGGGCGTTCTTTTTCTGTGAACTCTGAATACAGGATTTATTGCACTATATGAGCGTTCATGAGATAATAATGTCCCTTTAGTGGCAAATAATGTTCCTTCAGGGCAAAATCTCATTCTTCTTGTTTTCACTTGGAAATTTCAAGTTATGGAATCACTAGCAACAGTGAAGACTTCATAGGAAACCATATCTCAGCTTTCTTTTTGTCCCTTGTCTGATGACTATGTGTTATTCTTTCTTATAAGTCATTCCCACTGTTTGTGCATGTTATAACCATTTGACATTTGTCAGTAACAAGCATCTTCTTTACCCACTTCTTCCTCCTCACTTGCTCCTTTAAGGATACTGTTCACAGATAGATCCATCACTCTATAGCAGACACTCTTTCACACAATGTTTCCAAAAGTATAAGGAATTTTCAGTTCTGCCAAAGTTATTTTGTAAGTGCAAACCCATTGGGAGCACAAACATCTACAGGAATGTTTTGGTTGAGTGAAAAGAAATCGTTTTCAATATATTCAAAATACAAGATACATAAATTGAGCAAAGAATTTAAAACAAAACAAATTAAAATAAAAGGTGAAAAGGGGGGGGGAGAAATAGACAGAAAAGAAACACCGTAAGCTGTGATTTGTACACACATTTTAGAAAGGAGGCTTTATTAGTTAAAACCGTTGAGCAATAATCACATTGTACTCTTGCCAAATGCTTCTTCAAATAGGTCAGTTTTTACCTTTCTTCTTAATTATGATATGATAACTTGGCAAGTCTTGTATTTTCCCCAAATAGAGAATTAGAATTAGGACTTATGCTATTGATTACCATCTCAGAAGCTCTTTCTCCTCCCTCCTTGCTAAAGCCTGCTTTGAGTGGCAAGATGCTCCACTACAGAAGCAGCAGCTGTTTCGGGATTGAAGGTATCGTGCTGATAACAAAAAAAAAGAGGAAAAATTTGAACCTCAGTTTGTCATGAAAATACTAGAACAACTCTTAGACCACTCCAGAGCTTTTTCTTTGAATAAAAGTGTATTTATGCTTGAAGCCATTTTAACCAACTTCTCTGCTACACACAGCTTAAACAATTTCTAATAAAGAAGGGTGATGGTTTATAGTGGTGTGTAAAAGTAGGCATACTAAGTCACAGGTGCCATAGTTCATGCTTGCAATCCCAGTGGATTGTGATGAATCTGCAGCCATTTTGGTCTTCAAGAGCGAGTTCCAAACAGCATGGGCTACACAGTGAGACCCTGTCTCCAAAAGTGAACAAATAACCTCAACATGTCTGAGCACAACAGTACATTCCTGTAGTTCCACCACTTCGGAGGTGAACTAGGAGCCAGATTCCATGGCCATCTCGAGCTACGGAGTGAATCCCTGTCCAAGAAGGGGGAAAGGTGCATTTAAAAATACTCTTTACTAATCAACTAAACAAGAATACAAAAATTCTCTTAGTTCCACATAACACAAATTTTAATTTTTTAAAAGTCAATGAACTTCCAGAAGCAAATAGGGAAAAAAATGAAGGGAACCAACATTTTGATCTTGGGTTGAAAGCAGAAAATGACTCAACATTAAAATGATTTTCCTCCTTTCCTCATCAAAGTGAATTCAGTGCTCTAGAAAGATAGCTTTTCCTGAACACCTTCAAGGCTTTATTCTTTAATTCTGCCATATCCCAACACCATCTATTACTGTCTTTGTGGATCAGTGAATTTTCATAGCGCGACATGGCTACAAAATTAAGACTTGAATGTAGATGCAGTATTGTTTAAGAAAGATCTCTGAAAAGATCAGTATTGATCTGATTCCTTTCACCATAGATTAAACTTTTATAGAACAATGGGATAACTTGATATGTACTCTCTTCTCTTTATGCGTATTTGCTCAATTTTCCTGTGATCTGACCTTAATAATTATAAGCCAGCAGTTAATTCATTATTTTTCTAATTAATATTCTCTCATGTTAACATCATGACATACTGCTATTGTATAGAATACCATACATTGTATTGAATGCAGATGGGTTTCTTCTAAATGGATGTGATTAAGATAAATAAAAAAGATTTTTTTAAATTTAATTTGATTTTTAAAGTGACACAGTTTTACTTATGATATACAGCATGATGCTTTCAAGTACACGTACATTGTGAAATAGTTCAATGAAGGAATTCACATGCAGAGCTACACAT